AGATTTTCCCCAAATCTTTCCCCGGATGTTTCCCAAGATCTTCCCCCAGATCTTCCTCCAAATCTTCACCCAGATCTTTCCTCTGATCTTACCCGATGTTGTCCCGCTGAGCTTTTTTCCATGTTTCACCTATATATAAATATATACAAGACTGCAGTGGCGTTTCGCGCCATGCACCTTGGTCCTTGCAGTTTGGTATGCAGGCGGAATGGCAGGAAGGTCAAGCCGACAATTTAGCGATAACTCCTGGCTACCTTTTCTGGCATCGCCGCTATAATAATGTTATTCGTTGTCCTTCCTCCACGCTTCTTTTTCCTTATTTTCAAATGCCCTGCGCATTCTCCCCATCCTCCTCAGCTCTTTTTTGCGGAGGCTCCTCCTTGGAGAGCCTCTAGGGGCCTCACAAAAATTGTTTCAGGCTTTCTTCAGGCCTTCTGGAGACCTCTTGGGCGTATTCTGGGGGCCTCCGGGGGCTTCCTCGGGCCACCTTGCCTCCAACCGCGGTCTCCCTGAACGACCAGGTCACGATTTGGAATGCTTCGGAGGGTGGCTTTGGGCCATCTTGGGCCGCCATGGGGCTCTCTGAGGGCCATCTTCGACCCGTGTTGTGGCGTTTTGGGGCTCTCTTGGGCTGCCTGGAAGCCCTTACGAATGGTTGTGAGGCGATTTTGGAGCCTCCCAGGCGGCTTCGGACGCCCAGAAGACCGCCGTCTTGGAGCGTCGGGAAGCCGAAAAGAGGAGAACCCTAAAATGACCAACAGAAAATCAATGATTTTTGCCTCGGGGGGCCTTCTTGGGAGTGCTTTTGGAGGCCTCTTTGGGGCCGTCCTGGAGGCCTCTTGGGCCATCTTGAGGTCACGTCGGTCACTCTTGGAGCGCTCTTGTGCTGTCTTGGGGGTCTCTGGGACGTCTCCGATGACCCCCCTGATTGCCTTAGGTGTGCTGGGAAGGCTGGGCAAAACGCCATGTGAGGCCTGGTGGCCGCTTCGAGGCCCGTCTGCCCCAGATCCCAGGAGTCCGTGTTTTTTTTTTTTTTTGGGGGGGGGGTGATGGGTTGTCCCCCCGCCCGGGCTTATAAAAATATAGGAAGAGGAACACACATATATATATATATATATATATATATATATATATGTTCATCCAGATATTGATTCAGATCTTCACCCAGATCTTCCCCCAGATGTTTCACCATATCTTCTCCCTCAGATCTTTCCCCAGATCTTTCCGAGATCTTCCCGCAAACCTTGCTGCGTATTTACGACGCACTACACTGCCAAATCTTCCTCAGCTCATTCTCCAGATTTTCGCACAGATCTTCCACCGGATCTTCCCTCAGATGTCCCTCCAGGTCTTCCTCCAGACTTCCCGCCAAATTTGATAGATTATATCCGAGATGTTCCCTCAGATCTCCCGCAGATCTTCCGCCAAATATTCCTCCAGATTTATCGCTTCGCAACCGCACCAAATCTTCCATTGGACACTCCCCAGATCTCCCGACAGATCTTCCCCCAGATCTTCCCCCTGCTGTTCCAGGGCGTCCCTTGTCTTGTTTCATGCCGCGTCGCGGGTCCGGTTCTTGTTTTTAGAATTCCTTGTTTTGTTATTTTCCTCGCTTCGGGGCTGTGATCTCTTCGCGACAACCTAGAATTTGAAAAGCCTTGTTTTTAGAATTCTTTGTTTTTTTCAACCTCCTTGTATTGTGTTCCTATTGTGTTGAAGCGCATGGAATCCATATTGGGTTTCATTGCGTGGCTTTAAGTTTCCAATGTTGTATGGGGTCATGCATGTTCCCTTTTGTCAGGGCTATCGGAACCGATTTAGGCATCTATGCCCAAATCCGCCCCTCACAGATATGTTGTGTCGTTGCATCCTGCTCCTTCCCATCGTGTCTCTTCCCGTTGCGGCATTCTCCTGTGCGTGGCCCCACTTCATGATCAACATCAATGTCATCGGGTTTCTGATTTATTTCCAGTCAAAGAGGAGTCGCTTTATGATAGTGGTGATTTCGTCGATGAGGAGGAGGCGTTTTTTGATGAGGAGCAGCAGTCGGCAGAGGATTAGGAGGAGCAAAGTGATGGTTATATTTCACATGATGATGGCGATGATGGGGGGCGCACGTGGATGATTATTATGATGAGCTTGTCGGTGGTGATTATGATGATGGCAGTTCGCGCTACAACCGCGCACGCGAGCACGGTCAGGCCATGAGGTGACGCGCGAAAAAGGCATTCCCGCATGAGAAACCACCGCATGCCACATAGTCCTAAATCTCCACCCCCCACGGGGGAGCAAACGGTGCCAACACCGCATGGTGAGTCAGTCGGGATTCGGGGTCGGCACGGTTTTGGGATTTGGGTCGTTCTCCGATGACGCCTCGGGCGATGGGGGCCTCCGAGGTCCAACACCCGGGACCGTGCGGTAGTGTCCTGCGGGATTTCGAGGTCACCGCGCTGTCTGTCACCATACGGTGTTGGGACCTCCAACAGTTGGACACAAGCCCCTTCCATGGCTCTCATCGGCCCAATGTCCTGAACAGGAAAATCCTGAGATCCTGGCGCTGCATTTGTTGTTCGAGCCGGGCGTGTTCGCACAAGTTCGGGCCCCCAGGACTTTCACAGGTCGACGCGGCTCGACAGCTGCAGTTGAACGGTGCGGTCTGGGGTTTGGTCTCAATTCTCCACGATGCTGACAATTTGTTCGCGTCGTCGGATCTCAGATTCTCCTCGACCCCAGTTTCAGAAGCGGAGTATCTCAAGCAGTGGCGAAGCGTCCTGGCTCGCCCATAGCCCCACCACGCAATGTTCTAGGAACCTTGTGTGATCTGCACGAAGTGTTCTTAGAGCATTTCTGGCCGGGACTGTCCTGTTTTCACACGCTGGGCTTATGTCCAAAGAACCTTGTGTTTGTTCTTAGAACATGTTTGGGGTTCTAAGGATTCTCCGTGGCAGGACTATAGGGATGCCGGGACGGTCGGTCCCTGCTCGAGTATATGCGGTTGGCTCTCGTCGTGCCGACGCGGCGGCGATCCCGCCGCGGACGTGCAAGGTCGGTCGCCGCCAGCGGCTCGGAATCGGCCATCGTTCGGCGGCGAGCGAGGGGGGGAAATGAGAAGGAGAAGGTCCTCTCAGAATCGGGGGCGGAAAAGAGGGGGGTGATGACTAGGGGGGGGTGGATATCATGGCGGGGGTCATGACATTTCCCCGGATTTCATGGCGCCTCTTCTTATTTCATTACGTCCCTGCCCCCCCCGCTGGGCCGCGCACATGCCGCCGGTCATGATTTGCACCCCCCCTCTTGGACACCCCCCTCTTGGCCGCTCCCGACAGAAGGCGGCGGGACTTCTCAGAAGCCCTCGCGCCTTCTGAGAAGTTTTTTTCTGTCCTCGGGGAAGGCTCAGAAGACTTCTCAGAAGGCCCGGGGACTTCCGAGCCTTCTGAGAAGGCCCGCCCCTTCTCACTTCCCCCCCTCACCCGCCGCCTAATTATGGGACGAGCCGGCGATCGAAGAACCGCCGATCGTTCAAGGTTGAAGGATCCTCTCGGTGTCAGAAAACAGCGCCAGGGGTTGTCAGGACACGAACCTGCCGTAACGATACCGCTGTCTTTTCTTCGTCGCCACGGTTGGATTCGCCTCGAAGTTTTGGCCAGAACGCGCCCCTGGAGAGGTCTGGGGAGTGGTATTACGCGTAGCACCCCGCAGATGCGGATAAGGGTGAGGGGGTGGTGGGGACGTTGGCAGTCTGCGAGACTGGAGAACCCCGACGCCAGCGCCAAAGTCTCTCAAATTATGCAACGAGCCCGCTGGGTGGGTCGCGGGTGGGTCGCTGTTGGGTGGCGGGTGGGTCGCGTGTGGGTCGCGTGTGGGTCGCGGGGGGGGTCGCGGGGGGGGGGTCGCGGGGGGGGGGTCGCGGGGGGGGTCGCGGGTGGGACGACGACAACAAACAACAACAACGCAGCAACGCAGCAAGCGGAATCCTCACCACGGATCCCCACTTCAGCCACGCACCCAGGGACACTGAATGACCGTTCGGCCGTTCGGCCCCCTCACTCTGATTTGTTGAGCTCCTGAAGATCATCCAGTGCCCATAGTCCTCAGCTTGACGTCCGGCCGAGTCGCCCCACCCCGAGTCAGCCCAGGCAACGTTGGGCCGCCCCCCCCACCGGCTGCCGTCCCCAGGAGGTGCCATCCCCAGAAAGGGCGTCCCGCGGCGTGTGCATCCCCAGGAGGTGCCATCCCTCACCACCCACCAAACCACACCCGAAGGCTCAAATTTACCCTCGATTTCAAGTGGGGGGGGGGTCGGGAAACATCGAAAAAACACATGTGGAACCCTTACCCCCCCAACCCGAAATTCGGGTCTTCGGGTTGGGTTGTGGTGGTCTGGTAGGTAGTCAATCCCGCCAGGGCCCGTTTCGTGCCCCTCCCCCCCCCCTTCCCTCCTCGCTGCCCCTGGCCCTCGTGCCCCGCTGTGCTTCCGACCACGCTCCGCCGTGGGGCGACCGCCGGCTCGACCCGACTGCCTCGCCGCCGATCGAGCGGTGCTGCCGCCCGGCGCACGGCGCACGGCGCCGCGGGCCGCGGCGGACATCTCTCGGGACGCCCCGCTGCTGCTGCTGCTCCTGCTGCCGCGCCAGCCTCCCGTGATGGGCCTGTCTCCACCACCGCCACAGTACGTTGGAGGGGGAGGGGGTCCTCCTCCTCCTCCTCCTCCTCCTCCGCCTCCTCTCCTCCTCCTCTTATCCTCCTACTTCGCCTCCTCCTCCCCCTCCCCCCCTTCCCTCCTCCCTCGTCCTCCTCCTCCTCCTCCGCCTCCTCCTCTCCTCCTCCTCTCCTCCCTCCTCTCCTCCTCCTCCAAATCCTCCTCCTCCTCCTCCTCCTCCTGCCGCCTCCTCCTCCTCCTCCTCCTCCTCTCCCACCTCCCCCTCAACTCGTGGTGGTGGTGGCGGAGCACGCGCCCAGCCTCCTGGGCCCGCCCGTCGGGGGGGGGGGGGGGCGGCCAGGTGCCACCACCGTCGCGCTGGGCCGCACGCCCGCCTCGCCAGGTGCACCCCGGGGGGCGGGGCGGGGCGGGGAGGCAGGGCTGAACTTACAGTCGGGGCGCTGAAGAAGGAACCCTTTTCATTGGGGAGGGGCTCCGTGTTCCTTAATTGTTTCACAGCTTGCCTCAGGTTTTCCTTATGTTTTCGATCGGAAATCGAAGTTTAACTTGTGGAAAAAAGGGGCCTCGTTCCTTATTTAGGGTTCCTCAGGTCAACGCCCCGACTGTACACTTGAGTCGGGGCGGTCCCTCGACGCTCGGGACGACGGCGACCGACGCCGAGCGGCGACGACGGACGAGGATCGATCGACGACGATCGACGTACGACGGCGACGATCGGCGACGACGGCCGGCGACGGTCGGCGGCGATCGACGACGGTCGACGGCGATCGGCGGCCGGTCGGCCGCCGGGGGGCGGCGCGCGGCCCCCCTGCGCGCCCACGCCGCGCGCGCTTCCCGCGCGCTTCCCCTCGTCCCGAGCTCGGCTTGACCTACGGGGAATATTCAAAAATAGTCCAAAGATAGTTTGGGGACTTTTTGTTTGACCATTTTTGTTAGGGGGGGGTGGACATCATGGCGGTGGCCATGATATCTCCCAAGGTTCCATGGCGCCTCTTCTTATCTCATTACGTCCCTGGCCCCCCCCCCCGGGCCGCGTACATGCCGCCGGACATGATTTGCGCCCCCCCACGCCCCCCTCTTGGCCGCCACCGAGGCAGGGCTGAACCTAAGCGGTCGGATGTCGTAGCAGGGTACAGCCCTACGTGGCATAGCATGGTGTTGAACATCGACGCGCAGCCTGACATAGCATGGCGTGGCGGCGCCCCCAAGGGGCGTCTGCGGCCCCACAGATCAACGAATCGAAACCGAGTGTATAGTCACTTCCGATGGTTGTTTCGGGGAGGGGGGGCAGTTTCTAGATGTTTGGGCCTATTTGGAGGCAGGGCTGAACCTACACTTGTGATGCTCCAGCCTACTTCAGCCTTGATCACCAGGATGAATGTCGAGCACCAGGAAAACACACCATAACTCGAGGGTTTTCGCGTGTCGGGCCCTGGGAGACACCCTTTCGACACTGTTTCGATACTCTTTCGACACTTTTACGGGTGCTCGAAATTCATTCTGGAATGTGGTCCTTACGTACGATGGGGGCAACATAAACCTAATCGGTAATTTTTGTTTTCGGTTTGGTTTCGCTTTCCCTCGTTTTGCCTTCGATCCGCCTTTATACCGCCAAACGAGATCGAAGCGAAAGCGGCCCACGAAGTCGCCAGAGCACCGTTCAGGTCCAGCCTTGCGGGGAGGCGGCCAGAGGCGGCTGGAGGCGGAAGCAGGTGGGAGGCGGAGGCGGAAGAGGCGGCGGCGGAGGAGGGTCCTTTCGGGAGGAAAAAACGCAGACACAATTAATCGTCGGCTCCCCCGATAACATGTGAAAATACGGAAAGTGGGTGGGAAAGACAAATACCCAGAATATTTTGAAAACTGTGGAATCTGGTTACTTGTGTGTATTTCTTTGTGTGTCCCAGGGCCCCTTCATCCTTGATCTTCGGTAGCAAATCGTGGGAGCTTGGTATGCCCTCTTACTTCCGTCCTTGGCGTCGACTGGCGCCGATGAGCGTCTGGGAGTCGATGAGGCAGTGCCGTTTTAGCGTCGGTTAGCGTCGTTTTGGCGTCGGCCAGCGTCGATTAGCGTCGGTTTAGCTTCGATTAGCGTCGATTCGCAAGAGCCGACAAGATAGTATCGGAGGCTCCCGTGAGTTGCCACCGAACTTGATCCTGGATCTTTTGGAGGCTCATGGTCAGCCAGCCTACTTTGATATGCCACAAGCACCATGCAGGCAGCAGGCCTATTGTGATATATGCTACAAGCACTGGGCAGGCAGCAGGACAACAACAGGCAGCAGGCGGCGGCGGAGGAGGGGGCAGGCAGCAGCGCTGTCCAGCAGCCGGCGGAGGGACACAGGGACCACCTCTCCCCCTGCTGCTGCTTGCCGGCCCGCTTCCGTCCTCTCCTTCTCCAGCGCAGGGGGGCGAGGAGGAGGCCTCCTAGGAGGAGGAGGAGGAGGAGGAGGAGGAGAGGAGGAGGAGGAGGAGGGGAGGAGGAGGAGGAGGGGGGGAGGGGGAGGGGGAGGGGGAGGGGGAGGGGAGGGGGAGGGGGAGGGAGGAGGGGGAGGAGGAGGAGGAGGAGGGGGGAGGGAGGAGGAGGAGGAGGAGGAGGAGGAGGAGGAGGAGGAGGAGGAGGCGTTCGCAGGCGGCAGGTCAGGAGGCCGACGAAGGGGGGGAGGACGGAGGCGGGGCGAGAGGCGAGGGCGGGGCGGGTGGGGGGGGGGCAGGGAGGCGGTGGTCTTCGGGAGCGGTCTCGTCGCCGCGGGGAGAGGGCACGCAGAGCCCAGGCCGTGCGTGGAAGCGCAGCCGGAGGGTGAGGTTCTCGGATCCCAGCATCATGCAAATCAGGAGGGAACGAAAACACACAGACACAATTAGTCGTCGATTCCCCCGATGATATGGGAAAGGATGGGAAGTGTGGGGGGGGGAAGACAGGAACCCCGAAGATATGGAAACGTATGGGGAATCCGGTTATCGGTGTGTATTTATGTGTGTATCCCAGGGCCCCTTCAGTAACAGTGCCCTGACACTTCAATGCTCTGTGGCTTCTTCTTTAAACGCCCACTGCTTAGGCTACTTTCACCGCTTCCCACTTCTTGTTTATGCAGGCTACTGCTGAACGTCCCGTGCGTATGATCGGCTCTGTGAACCTGGGTTGCACCGAAACTAGCGTAGAAGTTTACTACTTGTCGTGGACGTAGGCTGAGTCGTGCACGTTTTGACTTCACCGTTGGAGTCTGGCAGCTGACCCAGCTCTTACTGCCGTAGGCCTAGACCCCAGCTCAGCACGCATCGACCGTATGACCTTGGACCTGGACCAGAAACTCGTCCTCGCGTACTTGTTTTTGACAACCTGAACCTTCCAATGTTCGCGGCTTTATTATGTGGATTCGTGATCAGTTCGTGCGGACTCTGCGCCACGGGGCCTTCCTTGTGAGCCCCCAGCGCCCGAGAGGCTTGCTCCGAAAGCAGGGCAGTCTAGGTCTCTGGAGGCTTGCGCAGGTGATGTCCAGAGGTTTCCGGGGGCTCATGGAGGCCCAGAAGGGCGAGAATCAGAGGAGGAAAAGGTACCCATGCTTCTACCCTTCCCTCGTTTTCCAATTTTGGGGCCTCCTGGGAGGCCCTCGTCGCCACCGCTAGATTCGCCTCGAGATCGATCAAACGAGAACTGGTCAAAAACCTTGGTCATCGCCGCTCTCGTTCCTTGAGGATCGAGGGTCGGCAATGGACCATGCAGGCCGATGTTTTTGTCACCCCCATTCACAGGACCAAGCTTCTCTGTTTGTCCTTGATCGAGTTATAACAGCCCCAGGGCCCGGGAACTGTTTTCAGGCGCCGAGCATGGCAGAACCGGCACATCGGCGAATCGGCGAGCGACGACGATGGCGGCGGCGACGACGACAACGCCGTGGCCGTCCACAGACGGCGGTGGCGACTACGACGACAGCGACGACGACAGCGACGACGGCGACGATCCGCCACAAAAAAATGTACATGTACACCCTCCAATGGATTTTTTCTGGGCCGAAGGGGAGGGCGACTGTGTGTAAATCACCGCTGGGAGCCAGCGATTCTGTACACCGCCACCCTCCCTGAAGGTACATACGAAGTTCCTCGGAGGGTGTCTGTGTGTATACTTCGGTGGCGTAGACGATGGCGACGGCGTCGACGACGACCCGGGCGCCAGGGCCCGCCGCGGTCAGCCGCGCGGCCACCATGCGGAGCCCTGCGAGGACCGACCCCGCCTTGCGCACCAGGCCTGGCGACGAGGAGCCCCGCCCGCGGGCGCCGTCGCCGTCGTCAGGGTCATCGCCTCCGCCGCACGTCGTCGTCGTCGTCGGGCGTCGGGGGCGACGTCGTCGTCGTCGTCGTCGTCGTCGTCGTCGTCGTCGTCGACCTTGTCGACGTCGTCGTCTTCGCGCACCGTTGGGCGGATGAGAGCGAGGGGCGTGGTCGACAACCCGCCGCAGGCGCCGGTTTTTTGTTGCACGTTCCACGGCGAGCGCGTTTTCGTCGAAGCACCACGGGTGGGTCGCGGGTGGATCGTGGGCGGGTCGCGGGAGGGTCGCGGGCGGGTCGCGGTTTGGTCGCGGGTGGGTCGCGGGCGGGTCGCGGGTAGGTCGCGGGCGGGCCGTGGTTGGGGGCGACGACAAGAACAGCAATAGCAACAAGCCAGTTGTTTGTGGCAAGTCCCGCCACCTTGCCAGCCAAGCATTCTAGATGGCGATTGTTTGAGGGCGGTGGTAGTGATGGTCGTGGTGGTGATGATGATGACGGTGGTGGTTCTAGGATGATGCTGATGATGATGGTGGTGGTGGTGATAATGATGACGAGGAGGAGGGGGAGCAGAAGGAGGGGGAGGAGGGAGGCCGTCACATGTGACGCCGTTCGTCGTCATTATTTGAGGAGCTCTCACGGAACTCGTGTGGTCCGTTTTGGGGTTGTCTTGGTCTCCAGCGAGGCAGTCTTGTGTGCCCCTTGGGGCCCTCTTGGGCCGTCTTGGGACCTTCTTACGCCGTCCTGGGACTCTCCTGGGCTGTCTTTGGGTCCTCTTGGCCGCATGGTTGGTGTCTGGGGGCAGTCGTGGTGCCGGCCATATTGTGCTTCCGAAAGGTCTTCTAAAGCCAGTGTGGGTTCCACGGGATGCCCTCTTGGGCCGTCTTGGGGCCGTGTTGGATGTCTCTCGGGCCATCGTGGGACCTCTTGGACCATCTTTAGATATTCTTGCTGTCTAGAGCTGTTGGGAGCCCGAAAAGGTGAGAATGCGCAAGTCATGCAAACGCTCATGTTAAATCAATGGTTTGTGGCCTCTTCGCACCTTGTCAGAGGTCTGCGAGTGGTCCTCCTGGAGGCATCTTGGGCCGTCCTGAGGCCACATCGGGCCGCGAACGAAAGGGGGGGATAGGGAAAGGCGGGGTTACGAAACCTGCTGCATGCAGCTGGTTTCGACCCCGCCGCCGGGCCCATTCCTCGATACATGGGAGCCTCCCAGCGCCGGGAGGCGCCTGGGAATCAGCTAGGTGAGCTGATTCTCGAACCCCCCCTTTGCTATCCCCCCCTTTCGCCCGGCCCGAGATGTCCTTGGCTGCCTGCCTGGACCGTCTTGGGGATCTGCACGAACGAGATGGGCACGAAAAGAATGGGTACAATGCTCAACAGCAGTTCCTGTTCATTTTGAACAGGACTCGCTGTCCGCGCCGCCGCGGCCTGTGTCCATTCGAGACAGGAGGCCGCCTGCCCAACAGCGGCCGCTGTTGGCTTGGGACAACATTTGTTGTTGGGCATTGTGCCCATTCTTTCCGTGCCCATTTCGGGCGTCCAAAATTCTCAACCCCCCCCTTTGCTATCCCCCCCCTTTCGCCCGGCCCGAGAAGCGCTCTCGGTTGCCTGCCTGGGCCGTCCTTGGGGAGCGTCCTGGCTTGCCTGTAGGCCCACCAAAGGATGCTCTACGAACCTGTTGTGGTGTGCACGAGATGTTCTCAGAACAGTTCTGGCCGAGACTGTCTTGTTTTAACACGTCGGCCATCTTGGGCCGCCCTCGAGGCAACGTGGGCCACCCTGACGTCCTGCCCAGCCCGAGAAGCGCTCTCGGTTGCCTGCCTGGACCGTCCTTGGGGAGCTCGGGGCGTGCAGCCACGGCTCGTGACGAGCGGACGTGGCCTTCGGGGGCGCGGCCCCCATTTGTTTGTTGTTTTTTGTACGAGGGGCCGTGACCTCGGGAGGAGGAGGGGGAGGAGGCGGAGGAGGAGGAGGAGGAGGGGGAGAGGAGGAGGAGGGAGGGGAGGAGGAGGGGGGGGGGAGGGGGAGGGGGAGGGAGGAGGGAGGGGGGGGAGGAGGAGGGAGGAGGAGGAGGAGGAGGAGGAGGAGAGGAGGAGGAGGAGGACGGAGGAGGAGGCGGAGGAGGAGGAGGAGGAGGCGAGGAGGAGGAGGAGGAGGAGAGGAGGAGGAGGAGGAGGAGGAGGAGGAGGAGGAGGGAGGTGGAGGAGGGAGGAGGAGGAGGAGGAGGAGGGAGGGGGAGGGGGAGGAGGGGGGGAGGGGGGGGAGGAGGAGGAGGAGGATGACGAGGAGGACGAGGAGGACGAGGAGGAGGAGGAGGAGGAGGAGGAGGAGGAGAAGGAGGGGGAGGGGGAGGGGGGGAGGAGGAGGAGGAGAAGGATGACGAGGCGGACGAGGAGGAGGAGGAGGAGAAGGAGGAGGAGGAGGAGGAGAGGGAGGGCTTCCCTGAGTCCAGCTTGCAGGAGACCTGCCAGACCAGACCCTCGGCACCCTTCCGGGCCTCAGCGTGTGCAAGGCATTACAGTGGCTCCGTTTCAGAGTGGTCACCCATCGTCGATCGCGTGCCACTCAGCATGTGCACCCCCAAGCCCTCGATGCTGACACCCCCTCTTTGTCTTCGATCACGGCCCCTTTGTGGATGTACCTTCGTTGCCTGCAACGTGCTGCTGGCGCGTCCCCTGAGATTGGAAGAGGCGGGAGAGGGGAAAAATGGAGACAGCGACACGGGACGGAGGAACCGAGACGTAAGGTTATGTCGGGCGTGTCCCCCTACAGGGGGATTTTCGACGAAAAATGGAACATGCCCCCAAAATTCCCCCCAAAAGGTCAAAACATATTCAAAAGTAGCCCCCAGACTAGATTTGGAGCATGTTTTCCCCATATCCTAAGATGGGGTTCTTGTTATTACTTGGACGCCTCCTACTCCTCCTTCCTCCTCCTCTTTCCTCCTCCCCTCCTCATACTCAGACTTACTCATACACAGACTTACTCATACACAGACTTACTCATACTCAGGCGTACTCATACTCAGACCTACTCATACTCAGACTTACTCAACACACATCAGATTTGGAGGATGTCTCAAGCGCTGGTTTCAGCACCCCTAAGGGGAGCCGCCAGGGGTGGTTGCACGGGCTCGTTCGCGGCCATTTTGTGGGGATGTCTCAGGCGGTTTGCCTGTTTCTGTGCCCAACATCCTTCGCTTTCGGAGCAGATTTGGAGGATGTCTCGAGCGAGGCGCTCATTTCAGCACCCCTAAGGGGAGCCGCCAGGGGTGGTTGCACGGGCTCGTTCGCGGCCATTTTGTGGGGATGTCTCAGGCGGTTTGCCTGTTTCTGTGCCCAACATCCTTCGCTTTCGGAGCAGATTTGGAGGATGTCTCGAGCGAGGCGCTCATTTCAGCACCCCTAAGGGGAGCCGCCAGGGGTGGTTGCACGGGCTCGTTCGCGGCCATTTTGTGGGGATGTCTCAGGCGGTTTGCCTGTTTCTGTGCCCAACATCCTTCGCTTTCGGAGCAGATTTGGTGGATGTCTCGAGCGAGGCGCTCATTTCAGCACCCCTAAGGGGAGCCGCCAGGGGTGGTTGCACGGGCTCGTTCGCGGCCATTTTGTGGGGATGTCTCAGGCGGTTTGCCTGTTTCTGTGCCCAACATCCTTCGCTTTCGGAGCAGATTTGGAGGATGTCTCGAGCGAGGCGCTCATTTCAGCACCCCTAAGGGGAGCCGCCAGGGGTGGTTGCACGGGCTCGTTTGCGGCCATTTTGTGGGGATGTCTCAGGCGGTTTGCTGTTTCTGGGCCCAACATCCTTCGCTTTCGGAGCAGATTTGGAGGATGTCTCGAGCGAGGCGCTCATTTTCACCCCCCAGGTGGGCCAGATTTTGAGGATGTCTCAATCGGTTTGCTTGTTTTGGTGGCCAGGCTCGTGGGCGCAGATTCTTCTCAGGATGCCACAGGAGGCTCCAACAGGCTCAGGAGGCCCCAGGAGACCACATGAGGTCCCAGGAGGCATCAGGAGGCCACAGAAACTCAAGAGGCCACAGGATGTCCCAAGAGGCTCCAGGAGGCCCCAGGAAGCTCCAGAAGGCCTCAGGAAACCACAGGAGGCCCCAGGAGGCAACAGGAAGCGCCAGGAGGCCTCGGAAGGCAACAGGAGGCCCCGAGAGGCCCCAGGAGCAGGAGGCCTCAGAAGGCAACAGGAGTGGCTCCAATCCCATGTGTTTTACGTATGCTCCTATCGATTGGGCCTCACCTGGAGCACGATTCTTTGATGTTCTACGTATGTTTCTATAGATGGTCCTTCTCCTGTGTACACAATCCTAAATGTTTTACTCATGTTCCTATGTATTGGGCCTCTCCTGGGGCACGAGTCCTTGGTGTTTTACGCGTGTTCCTATAGATTGCCCTTCTCCTGTGGCTCTAATCCGCAATGTTTTATGTACGTCTGTTGCTATAGATTGCGCCTCCCCTGGGGCACGAAACCTTCCTAGGAGGTCCCAGGAGGTCCCAAGAGGCTCCTGGAGACCCCAGGAAGCCCCAGTAGGTTTCAGGAGGCCCCAGGAGGCCCCAGGCTCATGCACTGAGACGCGCTCGTACTACTGAGGCTCATTCACACTCCAATTCATTCGCAGTTAGATTGATGTCCAGACCGTCACAACTGAAGCCCGTTAATATTCGAAAGCTCTTGCGCCTAGACATTGACGGCGGACAGGTCCATGCGAGTAGATGCACATATGGGGAGCTCCACGCAGTGAATAATTATTATTTTTGTTGGTATGTTCTAGTTTTCGCCGAAGATCCCCCTGTGGGGGGACAGGCCCGACTCAGACGTCAGGGGCAGGGGGGACACTCCGTGGGGCGCTCTGCCGGGGCGGGGCGCGCGGGCGGGCCCGACCGGGCGGTGTCGGGCGGGCGGGCCCCGGCGGGCGGGCGGGGCTGTGGAGCGAAGCTCGCAGAAGACGTTAAGTCGGGCGTGTCCCCCTGCAGGGGGATTTTCGACGGGAAATGCAAAATCCCCCAACAAAAAGTCAAACAATAGTCCCCCAAAAAACAGTTTGGGGACTATGTTTTGGAGTGTTTGTTTTGCCTTCTTGGGGCATGTTTGGGTTTTTTTTGTTTTCGTCGAACATCCCCCTGTAGGGGGACACGCCCGACTCAAAAATAACGAAGCAGCCTCTGGCGAGAGCACGAGCCCAGAGGAAAACTGCGAGGAAGTCTTGCGCGTCGTGAGCGCGAGTCCCAGGCGTCGAGGGCCCCAGGGTTCCACGGGCCCCCCCGCTCCCCAGTTCGGGATGGGGGAGGGACGCCGGCGCCGACGTCGACGCCGACGCTGACGCCGCCGCTCGACGACGACGACGACGATGACGACGAGAACGACGACGACGACGAACAACAACGAAGACGTCGACGACGACATCGACGACAACGACGACACCGGGACTTCCGAGCCTTCTGAAAAGGCCCCGCCCCTCCTCGCTGCCTCCCTGGGCTCGCCGCCAAGCCGGCGGCTCCGGGTCCTGTCAGCCGGCGTCCTGCGCGCCCCCCATGCTTTATCGTTGTGGAGGTCGATTAAAGGAGAGGGGGCATGCTGCCAAATAATTTCCAGATATCGAAAAGATGTTTCAAACATGTTTTGAATATGTAAAAGCACATGTTTGAAACATTGTTAGAACATGTCTTACGCATTTCAAACACATCTTTAATTCAATGATAGGACTGTTACAGTGTCCATTGTCATGGCATCCGCAACTTTATCGCCTGCTCTCCTCTCGGCGCGATCAAGAGGGGTGCGGGCAGAATCAAGCAGTGGCGAAGCGTCCTGGCTTTCCTGTAGGCCCACCAAAGGATGCTCTACGATCCTGTTGTGGTGTGCACGAGATGTTCTCAGAACATTTCTGTCCGAGAGTGTCTTGTTTCAACACGTAGGGCTCATGAACGAATGCAGGGAAACGATATAACAAAAAAAACGCCTCCCCCCCCCGGACCCCCCAAAATGATTGAGTGGGGCGGACTAATGGAATTCAGCAGCCGGAAACTGTTTTTTAAATCGTCCGCCCCCCGGCGTTTGTTTTTGCCTCTTTGGGGGAACTGATTTTCTATTCGTTTTCCTTCGCTCGCTTGATCACCCGCGGCCGCGGGGGGAGGATTGCGGAGGGGGGGCGGGGTAATTAGGGAAGGGGTTTTCGAAGAGGCGCTTGATCACCCTCGTCCTTGCGGACGGCCGCCGATCGTCCTTGCGGACGGCCGCGGCGATGGGAGGTGGGGGATGCGGAAGGAGGAGGAGGAGGAGGAGGAGGAGGAGGAGGAGGAGGAGGAGGAGGAGGAGGAAGGAGGAGGAAGAGGAGGAGGGGGGAGGACAAACTAGGTGCGCTCGCGTCATATATGACAGCCTACCCCTCCCTCCCATCCCTTACTATGGCGTAGATCCCCTCTCTACTCGCACAGTTGGATGTTGAGCAGGGCAATGATCCCGAAAGGGCACGCGATGCATTGTAGAGCACGGCGTGGCAGGGCGTTGAAGACCACCGCAAAGCGTAGTATGTCACAGCATGGCGTGGCGTGGCGTAGTGCAGAATTGCATCAAAAATCTTTGCACCGCAAAGCATGGCATCGCACAGCGGCCCCTAAGGACGAGGAAGAGGAGGAGAAGGACGAGGAGGAGGAGGAGGAGGAGGAAAAGGAGGAGAAGGACGAGGAGGAGGAGGAGGAGGGGGAAGAGGAGGGGAGGGGGAAAAGGAGGAGGAGGAGGAGGAGGAGGAGGAGGAGGGGGGAGGAGGAGGAGGACAAGGAGGAGGAGGAGGAGGAGGAGGACGAGCTCGCCCTGAAACAAAAATACCCCGTCCACCCCCCTGGCCCCCGCGCCCTGGATCGCTGCCCCGTGCCCCCCCCCCCCCCTGGCCTTCCAGGCAACCCCGAATTGTCAGCCCCCCGTCAGTGTGCCCTGCCTCCCGCTATTGCGGGGGCGAGGAGGCCCGCGAAACATTTCTTTATCGTCCGCCCCAGAACCTCTCTCTCTATATATATATATATTATACACCGGAACGGTCGGTCCCTGCTCAAAAGAAGGGGCAGTTGAAAAAGAGAAAACGCAATAAACATAAACTTTTGGCGCTCGGCACGGATTTCTTGGATCCGCGCCAGGCCCCCCCTGGCGGCGCTTCCGGCGCCGCCCCTGTCCCGCGCGCCAGGGAGGGGCTCCTAGCCTAGATCCAAGAACTCCGCGCGGACCTTGAACAGTTTGTGATGATGCCGTTTTTTTCCATCCTTTGGGTACGGAGACCAACGGCAGTTCCCGTCCATGTTGGGCAGGGTTCGCTGTCGAAGTCGCCGCGGACTTTGCCCGTCTGAGGCAGAAGGCCGCATGCCCAACAACGGTTTTTGTTGGTGTTGAACAGCATTGTTTTTGTTGGGCATCGGACGCTGTTTTTCCGTACCTAGTTCGGGCGTCCAGATATTCCCTCCCGCAAGTGATGCTTGGGGTGCCGAAGCCCTTTGGGCAGTTGGCAGGCTGGGGCCTGAACGTCGCGGCCGACAGGTCGGCCTTACCTCCCCCCTGTCGCCTGGGGGACAAGTGCAGACGACCGATGTCTGAGGGCAGACGCGAGCATCTCCACAGGCTACCTCGCGGTCTGCTTCGGGAGTTCTGAGCACCTGAGACTGGTCATCACCACGCAGTGGCGGAAATCTTGGAAATCCCTCTCCCATGCCTCCCTCATCCGCATCCTCCCTCCTCTCTTCCGGTGCGAGCGGGCAGGGAGGTGGGACGACAGCGCGTGTGTGTGCCACATAAACATAGGTGCGTGTGTGTATCTATATATATATATATGCATACAGAAAAAGAAACTGAAAGAGAGAGAGACAGAGAAAAAGAGAGTAATCATGGAAGAAATCATGACAACACACAAAGATACACGCAACGGCGCACAAACGCCACCCGGTGAAACTCTCGTTGATAAAAGGGGGAGGCAGACGAGCAGCCGCGCGGCCCGACGCAGCAGCAGGCAGAGCAGGCGGGAGCACCGCGAGCGTGGCCTTCTGCGCCTGCGCTCCCAGGGAGCCGCAGCGGACCCTGGGACCCGCAGCGACCCTCCTCCTCCTCCTCCTCTTCCTCCTCCTCCTCCTCCCCCTCCTCCTCCCTCCTCCCCCTCCTCCTCTTCCCCCTCCTCCTCCTCCTCCTCCTCCTCCTCCTCCTCCTCCTCCTCCTCCTCCTCCTCCTCCTCCATTGGTTCTGCACGAACGAGATGGGTACGGAAAGAATGGGTGCACTGCTCAACAGCAGTCCCTGTTCATCTTGAACAGGACTCGCTGTCCACGCCGCCGCGGCCTGTGTCCTTTCGAGACAGGAGTCCGCCTGCCCAACAGCGGCCGCTGTTGGTTTGGCACAACATTTGTTGTTGGGCACTGTGCCCATTTTTTCCCTACCCTGTTCGGGCGTCCAAAGACAGGGTCGCCCCGTACCAGTTCCGTTTTGTCGTATTCGCTGCCGGTTCCGACGCCGTTGTTTTGCCGGTTCTGTTGCCGTTTCTTCTCCGGCTCCGGTTTCAGTCGCGGAACCTTCTTTTGTTGGCCGTTTTTGGTCGTCGTTTTGTTGCCGTTTCCATGGTTAAGGGAGTTTTCCGGAAACAGAGAAAAACGGCCTTGCTGTCTCCAGGGCTCACACTCAATTGAGAGCCATCGCCCTCCTTCCATTACATGGTCGATTTTGTTGTCGAGGGGGTTCGGCTCTGAGCCACAGCGGGCCCGAAAGGCTCCATAGGCTGAAGGGCCCCGCAGTCGTTCCCGCTGCAATGCCACTGGCCTTGCCAGAAGCGCCACCCTCCACGACGAAAGAGCCGAGCCCCGTTTGCCCAGAGGTCGTGGCTCATCAGCTGCCCAGGCTTCCAGCTCCAGATCCAGCAACTCCTCTCTATCTCTCCTCCTCTGGGGAGTAGGAGGAGGCGGAAAGGGAGGAGGAGGAGGAGGAGGAGGAGGAGGAGGAGGAGGAGGAATGGGCGCAACGACGCAGTCCTTGGACGAGAGGCTGCGAGGCGCTGGCGTTGCGGCGGCTTCTGCTTTGAGGGTTCCACTCAGAGAGCTGATCGAACGGCGGCCCCCCCTCCCATCGGGAGGGGAAGCAACACACGACACTTTTTGTGCGTCGGCGGCTAGGCAGGGGACGCCTGCACTAGCGCATGGATCAGGCCTAAACGAAGATGCCGCTAGAGCGAATCATGTGCCACCCTGCAATGCATCGTCGACCCCCAGAAAAAGATATGGGAAACCATGGGGGGGGAGGATGAAAGCCCAGAAAGTACAGGAAAATGGGGGGGGAGATGCCACCAATGCACAGAAGAAAATGCAGCAGATCCCCCGGGATCTGTGGTGTGCACTCCTCCTCGCGCGTCCCTGGGCCCCTCCGCGCCCCCGCCCCGCCCCGCCCGAGGACCCCGCCCCGCGGCGGAAGACCGCCGCGCCGAGGCTGCACGTGCAGTGGGGCCAGGCTCCCCCCCCTCTGGCGCCCCCCCCGCGGCGCGCGGCCGGCGGGCCTCGCCGCCTCGCCGGGCAAACGGTGGCGAAGCGCCTTGGCTGTGGGAAAAACACACACACACAAAACAAACAAAACACACACACACACACACACACACACACACACACACACACACACACACACACACACACGAAACACACACACACCACACACACACACACACACACACACACGAAAACACACACACACACAAAACACACACAAACACAAACACGACAAACACACACATGTGTGTTGGTTTGTTTTTTATTGTTGTGTGGGTGTGTGTTTTTCCCCACGGACTGTTGTGTTTGTTTCCACGTGTGTTTTTTTTTCCCGTAGGGGGGCGATCAATGGAGAGGAAGCATGTTGCCAAATAGTTCCCAGATGTCTAAAAAACATGTGTTGAACATGCTGTGAACATGTAGAACACATGTTCAGAACATGTTTAGAGCATTTTTCCTACATTTCAAACACATCTTGAAATTCAGCGATAGGACTGTTAGGGTGTCCGTTGTCGTTGTCGTTGTCCTGTTAGACTGTAGGGAAATCAACGATAGGCGTGTTAGCGTTGAGTCGAGACTGTCCCTCTACAGGAGGAATATTTTAAAAAGTCAAATCGTCTGGGGACGATTGTCTGACCATCTTTGAATATTTTAGGGTAGTTTTTGACTATCTTTGATTTTTCGTCCAAAATCCCCCTGCAGGGGGACAGGGCCGGCTTAAGCGAAGCGCCCTGGTTCGCCCATAGGTTGAACGGCCCCGGCCTATCACCCCGAGGCTTTTCCTGTTAAATTGGTGAAGAAAAAGACATTCAGAATTAAAAAAATCCATGTTCAGGAATTCAGCTATTGAGTTTATTTTTAATTCTGCGCCGGCAACACCCCGTGAAATCCCTTGGAACTTCCATGGAGGGTAGAACGCGCGCCCCCGCGTGTGACTTCCTCGACATTTATTTCTGTTCCGGTAACTTCCCGGCAATTTCTTTGTAATTGAACCAGAATTTAATAATACTAGAATCAGAAATTATTTTCTGATTATTTGACCTCCTATTTTTAATTGATTTTTCCGAAGCCCCTAGAAGAGGGCGATCGATCGGGCCCGCTCAACCATAGGCCTACCAAATCATATCATGAGAACCTTGTGTGGGTTCCATGAAATGATCTCAGGAACATTTCTGGCTGGGACTGCCTTGTTTTAACACATTGGGTGTATGTTCTGAGGGCATCGTTTTCGTTATGAGAACATGTTGGGGTTCTAGGAGCATGTCGTGGTAGGCCTACAGGAATGCCGGGACGGTCGGTCTCTGCTCAACGCTTTGGGCGGAGGCGGCGGTGCCGGCGGTGGCGTTCCCGGCGGCAGCGAGACAGGTACCCATACCTCTGCCCTTCCCTCGTTCTCCCCTCTGTGGGTCTCCCGGGAGGCCCCCGTCGCCACCGCCGGATGCACTTCCAAATCTTGGTCGGGACGCACCCCGTGAGAGGCCAGGGGGGCAGCGGTGCCCCCCCTGGCCTCTACGGGCGTGTCCCTCTACAGGAGGAATATGCAAAAATAGGCAATCAATGGTCTGGGGACGTTTCTTTTATATATACATACATATATACATATATGACTATTTTTCTGAACGTTGAATCCTTCGTCCAAGATCTGCCTGTAGGGGGACATGCCCGACCTAAAACCAGGGCCGCGGCGGCGCGGCGGGAGCGACGGCCACGGCGCGGCGATCGCGGGCGCGGCGATCACGGCGGCGGCGGCGGCGGCGGAGCAGTCGCGGCGGCGCCAGCAGCGGAGGGGGGCGCCCACGGCGCTGCGGCGGCGCTGCGGCGGCGGCGAGCGGCGATTGGCGGCGGCAGCGAGGACAACGACCACAGCAGTGGCAGATCGGGTATAGCCAGGACCCCAGGTCAGGGGACCCGGTTAGTGGTAGGGCCCTGGAGCCCCTGGATTGGCCAGATTCACTGAACCAGGTTTGCTGTAGCTGGTGTTTTTTCGGGTGACGGCAGTTCCGGTCAGTGGAACGGGGCGGGGGGGGGGGGCGTCCCCCAGTACACATCACTAAACCAGGTTCCACGAACCCAGTTCTGCCAACGCCCGAGCAGCGGCGGCGGCGACGTCGACGGCGTCAGGGGCTCCTCGCTCCTGGACTTTGCCGTCGGGCTCCTGGGGCTCGGCATGTTTGGGGGGTGTCGCCGTGGGTTCCTGGTTGTTTTGTTTGGGAGGAGGAGGAGGAGGAGGAGGAGGCGGAGGAGGATGAGTTGGAAGGAGGAGGAGGAGACCGAGGAGGACGATGAGGAGAGGGCGGAGGATCAGGGGGAGGGGGGGGGAGGGAGAGGGGAGCAGGAGGAGGAGAAAGAAGAGGAAGAGGAGAGGAGTGCAGAGGAGAAGGATGAGGCGAATGCTGCAGTGAACACGATGGAAAGAGGAAGAGCAGCACGGGACGGACGAGGACGAGGGCGAGGACGAGGCAGAGAGGCGCGGGGGGAGGGGGCGAGGGCACGGAGGAGGCAGGAGCGGAGGGGAGCGGCGACGCTACAGCGCAGCGGGAGGGAGGGGGGGGGAGCAGGGAGGGCGGGAGGGCGTTGCCACAGGAGGGAGGGGGAGGGGGGGAGGGAGGGCGGAGGGAGGGAGGGCGGGGGAAGGAGGGCGGAGGAGGAGGGTGGGGAGGGGGGAGGAGGAGGGAGGGCCTGCCCCTCTACAGGGGGAATACTCAAGAATAGTAAAAGATAGTCTGGGGACTATTTTTGGAATTTTGACCACTTGGGAGTTTTTGCTTTTGGAGTGTTTTTTTTATTCTTCGTCGAGAGTCCCCCTGTAGGGGGACACGCCCGACGTAAGGGGAGGAGGGGGGAGGGCCCCTCCCTCCTCCCCTCCCTGGGAGGGGACCCGCGTCCCTCCCTGGGAGGGGACCTGCTGTCTGGCCTCCGGCCCGCGGGGGCCGCGGCCGTGGCGTGGGCGAGAGCAGCCGCGCCCCGCTGGGCCTGCGGCGGCCACGCGCCCAGGGGGCGCTGGACGTCACCGCAGCGCCGTCCGTCCTCCCTCCCCGCGTGGGGGGGGAAGGAGGAGGAGGAGGAGGAGGAGGAGGAGGAGGAGGAGGAGGAAGAGGAGGAACATTCAAGAATAGACAGGAGCGCAGAGAGGAGCAGGTGGTGGAGGAGGAGGAGGAGGTGGAGGGGAAGGAATACTCAAAAGTACACAAAATATAGTCTAGGAGCGATTCTTGGAGTGTTTTTGTTATTTTTGGAGTCTGTCTTCAGTATTAACTATTTTTTGGACCAAATCCGCCTGTAGGGGGACAGGCCCGACCGAACCTTGATTGTAGCAGGCCGACCGCAGCGAGCAGGTCAGGGGGAGACACGGCTCCCTACCACGCCATCGGACCTGCAACAAGAGCCGAGAGTCAGGCGATCGCAGACATGAATTAAGGGGGCGTGGATTACAGTCAACCAGAATAGGAAGGATGGGGAACCTTCTCAAGGGTACCCTTGCATCCTTGCCTCCTCGGCCCATCCTTGGCCACTTTCGTTGGCCGCGCCCCGCTCGAAACGCTTCGAAATGGGCGTCCAAGGCCCTTGCATCCTTATCGCGCATCCTTTCTATCCGGGTTGACTGTAGTAGCGACGGGTCCCGTTTCCAGGGGAAATCGCGGATCTCTTTCCGCCGCCCAGCGAGGCGGCACCGGCCGCATTTTGGGGAGGGCACTTCCCTGGATCCATGGATTTGGCGACCGCGCGCCAACTCCATGGATCGCTATTCCATGTTTGCGCGCCCCCGAGAAGAGGAGGGTTGGGCGCAGGATGGATCGCCGAGCGCGTTCCACTGCTCGCAAGGTGTCTACGCGCAACCGTCCGAATAGAATCACATGCCTGCATCGATGTAGTGTGTCGTAAATCCTTCGTGGCGGATCCAGGCCGTTTGCGAGCAGTTGCTGTGCGAGTAGTGGAACGCGCGAGGGGGAGGGGGGGCGAGGAGGACGGGGGGACGATGAATGGGGGGGTTGCAGAGGCAGGATGTTTGCAGGATGCGCAACACAAGTGCTGCCGCGATCTCTTGGCCATGGGGATCTGGAGGCCTGGGCCCTGGACGGGCACGGCGTCAACGACGATCACGAGCGACGACGAAGACAGCGACGACAACGACGAAGATGACCAGGACGACGCTGGCGACAATGGCGACGGCGGCGACGACGGCGGCGACGATCGACAACGACGACGACGACGACGACGACGACGACGACGACGACGACGACAGCGACGACGACGAGGACCACGACCGCGACCGCGACCACGACCACGACGACAACCACGACGACCACGACGGCCACAACGACGACGACGACGACGACGACGACGACGACGACGACGACGACGACGACGACGGCGCCAGCGCCTGCGGCAAAGCGGCGGCGCCGGCGAGCGCCGCCGTCGCACCGCGCCCGCCGCCTGCAGCCAGGCCGCGTCCAAGGAGTCCAACGAGCCAAAGGAGAACCGCCCTGGCCCCCCAGAGGAGGAGGAGGAGGAGGAGGAGGAGGAGGAGGAGGAGGAGGAGGAGGAGGAGGAGGAG